AAGGCAGACAGAGTCTCGTTGGCTCTGCCAACTAAAGAGAACTATGGGCTATTAAAAATTTTGGGGTGGAGGTGTGTATTTCTGTGGCTTTTTTTGTTTTGTTTTTTAATGTGTGGGGTGAAGCAGCAAACTTGTGAATCCTCCAAACCTGTATAGTATTTGAGGAACACCATAATGAGTATGTGGAAGAAAAATCCACTAGGAATGACTTAATAGGCCAGAAAGACCTCCAACTAGCTATCAGAGGCTGTGATGATGATAGAAAGCAAGACCAGGACAAGCATTTGGAGATGGTTTCAATGCCCGATGGAGAAATATACTGTTAAATAGAACCTAAGCTTAAGACCATTGGCTTCTCAGGGAATTGAACAGGGTTGGAGCAGGAACTGTTGCTTTGGTCCCAATTTTTCCCCTCACTGTTTCTGTAGGTAGCATAATCCGCTGCATGAGGAGGCTGGAGGAGCTGCTTCGGCAGATGTGCCAGGCTGCAAAAGCCATTGGAAACACAGAGCTGGAAAATAAGTTTGCAGAGGGTATGTATTTCACTTCCCCAGTGTGAGAAGTAATTCTAGAAAGTATGGTGGGGTGGGGGGCAGGGGGTGGGTGAATAGCTTGGTAACAGGAGCTGCTGGTATTGACTTTAGGGTAAACAGCACCATTGCCATCTTTCCAGCTAGGATCTGTGTTACAGAGTTGGATTCGAGGAGGTTGTGGTTTGATGCACACAGACAGTTAATCTAAATTTGTGCCTGCCAGTGCATGTACACAGACTTCCATTTAAGATGTGTGACACTTTCTCCCTGCATAGTATTGCACACCTGTAACTATACCTAAAATAAGTGATTGTGTCAGCTATGACTGCTAGATATTAATACAATTTTTCTTTTTAATAGGGATTACAAAAATCAAGAGAGATATTGTGTTTGCTGCAAGCCTTTACCTGTAACAGAATGTATCTTCTGAAAAACAGTACTAGAGCCACATCACGGAACAAGTTAAATCAGCTTCCCATGCACATCTCCAGTCAATATTTCTTTTAATGGTGTGCATTTAAACCACAGTTGTTTCAACAAGGCATGTACAAACAGCAGTGTGTGTAATATAACTGTTACTGTGTTCTCAATAAAAATTTACAATTCAAATGCAGCTTTTCTTTCTTTGAAGCAAGAGCTTGAACCAAGAGGAGTTTGGATATACAGTAACTGTGGTAGGTGTTAACTATATACAGGTGAATGGAGCATCCGAGAGCAGCAGCAGTCCCTTAAAGGCATTTACTTATATTACATAGTTAGACTTGTGAAATTGTTTTCCTTTCAGAGCAAGACAGGGGAGGTGGGTCATTCTTCATGGCTGATGATTGCTGCCAAAGTGATTTCCATTTGTTGGCGTCTCATGAAGGGTTGTATGGGAGTCTTCTTTCGGTTGAAACGTACACCCTCTCTCTTTGAAGAAGTCAGACACATACACAACCTAAGTGAACAAAGCACTGTTAAGCTCCCACACTTGTAGGTCTTTGAATCAATGTGTAAATGCTTTTGCAGAAGGTGAATTCCATGATCAAATGAGTGCATTTAAACATACTAAAGCAGCCACAGCTCCAGTGAGCTGTAAGGCCAGTGCTACCTCTGTGATGCTCTCCTGCATTCCTTTGCCCACACCCCCTCACTTCCTTCACGGTTACTCCTACAAGACAGGTGCCTTGATTCAGTTCCACAGGTTGCCTCTTCCCCCTGCCCACTTCACCAGCTCTTAGTAGTAGATGTGCTGGGTACAGTGCTGCATGAAGTGCCATAGTGCCTTTTCTCAAGCTCCTTTCCATTCCTACATCATCTCTTCCCCTCCCGCTGCAAAAGTGAGAACTGCAGAACAGTTTAGGGCAGCAGAAGGAACCCACCTTCCACACCAAGGGCTTGGCTGAGGACCCTGGGTGCTGCTTCAGCTGCCTTCCACTTAATGCTGAGTTCATTAAGCTCAGCTCATTGTTCCATTTGCAGTTTCTGCCCCAGTGTAATCACACCTCAGATTTTTGTTCGTGGCGGTGAATGCTTCAGTTCTTTCAGAAAAGGGTTTTCTTTGTGGTTGGTGTATTTCTTTTGGTGGGTTTCCTGTCCCCTTCTTCCCCCCTGAACAGCTCATGTCTCTGAACCAAAAGTCTCTGTCTGTCCCTCCCCATGGACAAATCCACCATGGTACCCCAGTGACAGTCACTGGAACTGCTGACACCACAGCAGCTAGGCCTGGGGTGCCCGGCTCCTTGGGATAGCGCCTCATCAGCAGCACAGCTTGGCTTCACGGGCTGCCTGTCGTGAAGAGCCCTTTAGCACTCAAAATGCACATGAGGAATGGTGAAGGGTTAGTTTTAGTTTTCCAGGCAGAGCAAATGGGCTGCATGTGCTGATAGAGGCAGAGACATCTCTATGCTCTCTTTACCCTTAAAAGGCCTTTTTTTTTTTTTTTTAGCTGTGCTTACCTCATATGCATTTCTCTGCTATTCTACCCAAGATGTAGAATTTGGCTAGAAGCAAAAGCTATGGTTATACAGAGGCCCACACTGTTTTGCAGTTGACTGTTTTCACCTCAGATATTTGAAAAGTTCATGGGCAGGGACAGTTTAATGCCGCCTAACAGCTGAAACAGCCAGTTATTGGCACGGAGCCTCCCCCCGTCCCCTAAGTACTGTTGCTACACCCAGTTCAAGGAGTTGTCTCCCCAGCTCCGACTGTCAGAGCATTAGGATGACAGGTCTGCTCTGCTCTGAACACAGCCTGCAGCTCTGAGGTGCTGTTTGTAAAATCAGCATTTCCACACACACACACTCACTCACTCACGGCTTGGGGAGGACTTACAATGAGCACAGCTACCACTGCTCCCTGAATAAGTCCTGTTAAAACATCACTCCAGTGATGCTTGTAGTCAGAAACACGTGAGAGACCCACATAGATGGATGCAGAAATAAGACCAAATTGTAGAGTAGGACGTACAAGTCTTGCCCAGTCTCCTTTCATCCTGGCCTGAAGGTAAAGCTAAAAGGAAAAGAAGAAATCATTATAAATAACACAGTAGCAGTAAAGTTCGTGTTGGGCCTATTCTGAGCTGAAATTCATATTCAGAGGCATGATGGTGTCCACAAGTGTTCCAAGTGCTCGGCTTGCACAGGTATGCTAAGGTGGAGTTGTTTGATGTCCAGTGTTGGTTTTTATGTTTGATATCAAACTACCGAACACCATCATACAGATAGTTACTGCATCTGTACCAATGTGGCAATGGCCATGTTCATTGTACAAGTGCTGGTAACGCCAGAGCCAGCTTAGGCTTAGACAGAGTCCAGCCAGAGTCAAATGAGTATTTCACTCCTGCATTAACTACAGGTAAGCCACCTTTAAAAAACAATAAATAGCTGGCAGCTGTGCAAATTTACAGTTCTACAAATACAGGGAGGCCCATCTTGCTCTGAACAGGAAAACCGTTAACATCTTTACTAAAAAGTTCACATATACTATACATAAAGCTGACAAGTTTTTAACTTTATTCTGAATTCCAGTCACCTGCAGTACTATCCACTTTTAGGATAATATGTAGTTGAGCATGAGAACTAAGTTGAAATAGTGATGGATAAGATCCAGGATCACACTCGTCAGATGTCACTGGTGTTCCTCCCTGAGCTCCATCTGCTCCTCGCCCTTTTTAGCAGGATGGTTTCACCGCCCCCCTGGGGAGCAGGCGGGTACGTGCCTGTGCCGTTCCCGTGCTGCTTCTCTCCCTGCAGCTCTGTTTGTGTTCTGCACAGCTGTGCTTTCACAGCACTTGACTCCAGTACTTTCCCATCTCATCTAAGACCCTGCTGTTGTCTCCTCCTCTGGTCTGTCCAGGACAGAGACCTCTTATTTCAGCTATAGGAGGAGCTTATCCAAATCCACCCTGTAAACATCACTGAATTCTTCTGGAACTTGATCCGGTCACCAGAAAAGGCACCACAGTTACGGTATTTACAGAGAAGAACAATACAGCTGGAAGTTATATTTAACATCTCGAGTATATCTTTACCATCTAGGAACTTCAAGCTGAGTACAAAACCTTAATTGACAGTCTTGTGAAATCACAGCATCCAACTGAAACACAGGCTGCAGGCATTAAGACAGTGCACGAAGATTCTGGTAAATCCCTCTGCTGCCCGCTTCAAAAGCCACAGCTACCTTTTAGCAGCGCTACATTTACCATGTAAATACAAGCATAGAGCACACACTGTAGATGCAAAGGTGCTACTTTCCAAAGTTAAACATTTCAGGAATGGTTGGTTGGTTTCTCTGAGCAACTTACATCATAATTTGGGCATGCTGACTTTTTTTGGCTATAAATAGAGCATCAAAAACATGAACCCTATCCATAACTGGTTTTCTTTAATAGCAAGGTCAGGGTGAAACAGGACTCTGAAGAGAAGCTACAGGGAAGCCTGAACTGGACAGTAACTTTTTCCCCACTCAAGTGGTGGGCACTGCATATTTCTGGGCACCTTCATACACCACTAGGGAAAATACTGTTCAGCCACTTAAAATATCAGCCATCACACAGCTCTTTTAATGGTCTTGTATTTTATACTACTTCTGGGTTTACCAGCGGTAGACCAGAACACTACCTGAGTGCCAAATGGTGAAGAGGTGGGTCCAAGGAGCAAGCACATGCTGGCAGCCTAAAAAGAGCTGGCTGATGATTCAATACTGGCTGTTCTTTCCTCTTTTCCTC